AGACATATTATCATATAAACTATTATAATAACCTACAATTTTATTAAAGGCTTTAAAAAAAATCCCCTTTCGTTTGTTGTTGTTGTTGTTGTTTGGTGTCCCGAGACATGATCTCAATGTGTAGTTCAGGAAATGTTAATCTAAATAAAATAACACCAATATACAAAACCTTAAAGATTATATAATCACAATTATTTTTAGCTTAAATATAGCTACCTACCAAAATTATTTTTTTTCTCTCCAAGACTATCTTAATTTCATGATAACAAATGTAGATAAATCTATTTGCAAAATGCTATCTTCAGCCTTGTCAGAGTACCTATCTTATTTTCATTGATTTTCAGTGATACAAAACTGTAAGATTTAGATATAGCTCAAAATAAGAAAATCAAAACTACTGGTAATAAGAAAGGAAAACATATTAACCAGAGGAGAAGTAGGTTTAAAAATAATCCTAAAACAGCTGTGTATGGAGGTGTCAGGTCACTATCTAAGGAATGAAAGGGCTACTCACCATATCTCTTACTCAGGGGAGAAAAGTATCTTATAGTATTTTTATTTTACAAATAACAAATCTGAATACTGAGTGGGGGATTTAGCTTAGTGGCACAGTGCCTGCCTTGCAAGTGCAAGGTCCTGAGTTTGATACCCAGTACAAAAAAAAAGAAAAAAGAAAAAAAAAAAAAAAAAAAATCAAAAAAAAAAAAAAAAAAAAAAAAAAAAAAAAAAAAAAAAAAAAAAACCAAACAAACCCTGAATGCTATTTCAGAATGATCAATTAGGTATTATAAAGGCTTCACATGTTTGTGTTAGTGACTGTTGTTCCTAGAAAAGCATATTATCTGAAATACAGGATAAGCATTCAACAAATATTTCCTGAATGGATATTCCAATAAATTGATGTCACCTTATCATTTTAATGTTAACTGATCTTACCAGCATTTAGAAATATCTTTCCCTATAATTTAGGAAGCACCATTTCTAAGAGTTTTCTAGATCCCAGCATAGAGTTAAGGTGTGAAGCAGAGAAATTACAAAGTAACAGGTAAAGCTAAAAGAACAAAGTTTAGGGACACTGATGCTAGAAGGATCTTGTGAACCTGAAACAGGAATCTGGGTGATTCTAAAATTAACAAGGTTCTTGTCACTATTTCAAAGGCCTGAATATGAATGTACTGTGGATGCAGACATGTTTCACAACAAATTCCTTATGGGGAGAAACTTTATTGCTTATTATTTTTTAAAATCTAGTGTGCAATATTGTACCTAACACAAAGCAGATGATCAAAATACATAAAATAATGGCAATGCCAATATTTAGGTGTTTTTTTGTTGTTTTCAAGAAAATTCAGGCCTTTTAATAAAGAATAAAAGTTATTTTTTATATCCATCATTAAAGTAATTTTTATGTGAAAAGTACATTTCATACAAAAAAAATCAAGAAATGGAAAAATACATCAAAAGCTTTTACATTTTTACTTACTGGAGAAGAAATTGACACTGCTAAGAGAATCTTTTCCGGGAAAAATAAGATTCTGCTATCCACATGACTATATGGATGGGTCAGAGCTATAGCCTCATACTAAATGACACATTGTGGGCCCTGGAATAAGAATCCTACATATTCAAAATCCTATGAATCAACCTTGTTAAGCCTCAGTTTTCTAATTTATGAAATATAGATTTCATGACCTATTTTATAGGACTGTTAACAAAATTAAATATTTTATATAAAGCACTTAGCATAGTGCCCGGCACGGAGAAGTACTTAACACATATTTGCTCTTTTTAAAGGAAAACCTGTCTAGGCTTGAGAAAATAACTAGATTTTTAAATTTCGAAGAAAGGGGATGAGAATGATGTTGAAAACAAATGTAGCATCTCATATATATCAACAGCTGATGAAAGATAAGAAAAGACCCTACATATGTCAGGTGGGGCAATGGACTGCCTGTGTTAATCATAATCTTATGGATGGCCTGAGTTATTCAGTTTCAAGCCAAACTGAAACAGTAAAGTAAAAGATTCTTTTTTCTTTCTTGGCTACTTCTTCATTTTTTGTGAGGTTTACATGATCCAATGACAGATGACAGAATACTATCTTTCATGAATTATTAGTCTTTTGATAAGCTTTTAAATAAATTTTTGATAAGCTTTTTTTACTTTGCTAACCAAAATAAAAATCTTTCGGAAAATGGGAATTGTAATTAAGAGAAACTTTTTTCGTAAAGTTTCTTCCGTATATTCAAAAATCTAGTTTGCTAACAGGTTTACGAGATCACTAAAATATTCTAAGTTATTCTCTTAGGATAACATTTTTTTCCTTTTCTAAGGAAATGAAATCATTTATTTACATAAGAATACAGTATAATAATTAAAAATTAATTCTCCAAACTTAGAATTATAGTATATACTTTGGATTAAAAATATAAAGTCAATAGGCCAGGGATTTAAGTTCAGTGGTGCTGATGCCTGCCTCACAAGCACAAGGACCTGAGCTTTGATCCCTGGTAACAAAAGGCTGTGTGTGTGTGTGTGTGTGTGTGTGTGTGTGTGTGTGTGTGTGTGTATAGATGTGTGTGTGTGTGTACAGATGTGTGTGTATATGTATGTGTATAGATATGTGTGTATATATATATGTGTGTGTGTATATATATGTGTGTGTATATATATGTGTGTGTACATATGTGTATATATATATATATATATATGTTATAGTCAAAACTATCACATATTTAACACATTTTACTTTCAGTTGTGCAAGTATATAGGCTATCCAGATACATTGCTCCTTGATTATCTTTTTACTAAAAGTTCTAATCTTTAAAAAATGAAAATGTTACGTACACAAGGAAATTTTGTCAGAGACATTTCTGTTTTCTTTACTGTAGTACCATAAAGAGATTGTGCCAAGCAAACAGTAATTAGAAATTTAAGCTAAACATTTTACTTTTTATAGCAATTATGCCTTCTTTTAGTTAGAACTAATAAACGAGACTGATGAACCCTTTCAATTTGACTCAACCTAAAACCTAAATTTTCAAATAAAAATTAAAAGAATATAATTATGTGCCCAATTTTGGGGTAGGAATTTTTTATAATATGTAATAATATATACAATAAAATAATATATAAAACTTGATCTAGTCTCTGAATAAACTAAAACACCATGTTTAATAACAAAGATACTTAATATCTAATTATATAACAATGTCATTTGACAAGTGAAATAATAGGATAAATTAATCCTATAATTATTCAAATAACTTCATTTGATATACTGATTTTTAGTTATTATCGATGTGATTTGTTGGGTAGATACAGCTGTCAGTTGATGATGATCATAACTAAACTGGGATTTGATACAAGGAAATACAATAAATTCTCCCAGTAACTTCCCTATTAAAGTGATATTGCTATTGTTCAGAGGGCTGAACAGTTATAGTAGTTTTGCTGAATAAGACAACCACCATTTTTTTTTTCTAACGCATATAACGTTGTCTGAGATTTTGAAATATTTATTATCTCTATTCTTGAGCAAGGGATAAAAATAACATCATTTTTAATTGGGTCAAACCTAATCCCTTGTGCCAAGAGGTACCATATGGTATAGTCAGTTGTGGGCTCTGTTGCTAGCTATATGGATTTGAGTCCTGGTTTTGATTCTAAGATTGTACATCTCTTGGAGGGACTGTTTCTTGGGGAAGAGAGGATGATAACAACGTTGTCATTCAATGAATTAATAAACATTAGCTCATTTAGAATGAAGCATATGGAGAAATTTCATAGACGAATCAGTATTTGTGCTTATTCATAATAGCCATGACAGAAAACATTGGGTAAGTTTTAAGAAACTTGTACCAGTAAATGGAAAAAAAAAAATTCAATAGAACTGATCAAGACAGGAATCCATAAAATGGGCATTCTCTAATTTTACATTGCTCTCTAGGCTCTAAATATCTCACATGGCATACCTCCTGTTTCAGGAGTGGCTACATTCCAATGGAGCTCAAAATACTTAAGTAACATCTAGCCCTCTAATCTCTTCTCTCTGAGCCAAAGTCATGTGAAAACTAAAACGTGCAACACAATGAAGAATGACTTCAACGGGAAGAAGTCACAGCCTGGAGGTACCAGAAAGGTATCAGGTGTTTACACTTAAGGTGCCAAGGCTTCTATATTGGCAAATTACAGAGTAAACCCAAAGGAGACTCCCACTGACTGATCTGGTATAGGCAGAATGCAGAGTACAAACTGGCCCTCTGAAGTCCAGTGGTGATATCTAGAAGGCAGGGCTGGTAGAGAAGAAGGGTGGGATATGAGAAGGAGAAGGAGACTGCAATGAGGAGCCAACAATTTGAAATGATATTTCCTGCTTACTGGAATGGGTACCCTGCTGTATGTATCAAACATTAACCCTTTATTTTCTGGATCACAGGAAAGTCAGAAAAATTTCTACAGACATGTTGTAAGGGCCAGGGAGCACCAAGGGAACTCCAGGCAAAGCTTTATTCACCATCCAGAATGGAACTATTTTAACCAGTTTTTAACAATAGAAATATGGTGAAACACATACCTGAATATCATCCCTTGTTTGGAGGATGAAAAAAAATGAAGCTGATGTCCAACTAACTTTGTATAACAAAGTTACAACAACTAATTTAAGTCTATTTTAATAACTGTATGATTGTAAACTGCTAGGTACATACAAAACTCAGCAAAGAGGATACACACACACACACACAAACACACACACACACACACACACACACACACACACACACCCTAAGAATTTCCAAAATCCAGAAACTCTTATTACCACTAGAATGGGAAGTTATTACTATTGAAACCCCAAACTTACAATAAATTAGTAACTGATAACACAACTTTGTATAATAACTACATTGTATTAAGATAGCATACTGTAGAAGGAAGAGAATTCCTCAAGCATTTTATTATTTCTGGAAAGTCAAAGAATCCAAATGTCTTTATAATCTTACCTGCCACTTTCTCATCTGTTTCCCTGTTACCGTCATCAGAATATCTTGCAAAGTCTAAAGAATCAAGAGTACTGATGCTTCCAGCTCTATCTATAATAAAGACAAAATAATTAAATAAGCAGATTTTAATTTTTTCAAAGGATTAGAATTCAAGTATCTGTCGGTATTTCCAGTTAATAAAACCACAAATCTAATTTCTAGGATCCATTAAAAAAAAAAAACGTAAAGATGCTCAGATCAATTAAGCCACTTGAAAGTAACCAAGTTTCCCTGCCCAACACTCTGGCTAGACTCCCACACAATCCACACACAAGGAACACTGCAAAAAAAGTCCAGAGAAAGGCAAAATTTGAGCTGCCATCAGAGAGGCAAACTTTGCAGATTTAGTTTGAATAAAGTAATTGCATAATAAAAAAGGAAACAACAATCTAAAAAATAAAACCATCTAGCCCTCAGCACATAAGATACATATCGTCTATCATACAATACAAAATTACATGATACACAAAAAGCAATAAAATGTGATCTGATGTCAAAAGAAAACAATTAGGACTAACGCCAAGATAAACTACATAGTACATACTGGTATCAGACTAAGATTTAAAAACAGATATTATGGGTGGCCTGCCTTGCAAGCGCAAGGACCCGAGTTCAATCCGAGTACAAAAAAATAAATAAAAAAATAAAAAATAAAATAAAAACAGATATTATAACCATAATCATTGAAGTGAAGGAATATACGTAAATGGGGTGAATTAAGAGAGAAAATCCTTGCAGAAAATTATAGAATATAAAAATAATGATAGAAATTCTAGAACTGAAAATTATCTGAAATTAAAATTCACTTGCAGAGCCGGGTGTGGTGGTGCACACCTGTTATCCCAGCACTTGGGAGGCTGAGGCAGGAGGATCACTGTGAGTTCAAGACCAGGCTGGGCTACATAGTGAGTTCCAGGTCAGTCTCAACTACATAGTGAGACCCTGTCTCAAAAAAAAAAAAAAAATTTACTTGCAGTGTCTAGTAAAGGACTGAAGATAATGGAGGAAGGAATCAGTGACCATGTAGATAAATAAAAATTATTAAATATGAAGACTAAAGAGGAAAAAAAGATTGAAAAGAAAATTAATGGACTCTCAGGAACCTACAGGACAATAAGAAAACATCTGATATGTAGAAATTGGAGTCAAAAATAGGTGAGACAAGAGGTGGGGATAAAGACAGCAGAAACTTAGGCATATTAGGATCAAACTGCTGAAAACCAAAAATGAATAGAAGATAGTGAAAGCAGACCAAGAAAAAACATTCATATAAGAGAAAAATAATTAGTATGACTGCTGATTCTTTCTAAAAAACTTATGAATACAAAGTTATCCAAATTGGTAAAAAATAAACTATAATAATATATTAAAAAATAAACTTTTTCTGTTTACACAAAAATCAGATTATACAATAGCAATTAACATTGCAAAAATAAAGCTAAGAAAATTTCATTTCCAATAACATAAAAAAGAATAACATACCTAATAAAAATAACAAAAAATGTAAAACAATGACAATTGTAAAACATTACTGAAAGAAATTAAAGATGATCTAAGTATTTGATCCCCAGTACCAAAACAAAAAAGATGATCTAAGTAAATGGGAAGATATCACAAGCTCAAGGACCATATCAAGATAATAATATTCATAAGCAATCTTTATATTCAATGTAATTCCTACCAAAATCCTATGTGGCATTTTATTTCTTTTCACTTTCTGCAGACTTAAAGAACTCAATTCAAAAATTCATATGGAAACTAAAGTCTAAGAATAGTCAAAACAATCTTGAAAGCAAATAAAGATGAAGTATTCATGTTTCCTGATTTTTAACTTAAAACAAAGCCCAGTAAACAAGAGACAACATGATACTGGCATAGGTGTGTATGGGAACAGAACTAAGAATTCAAAAATAAGTTAACTAGGTTTTGACAAAGACACCATATCAAATGGGGAAAATAAATTTTTTTCAAGGGAAATGAAAACATATGTTCACACAAAACTTTGTATATAAATGTTCATTAAAGCTTTATTCACGATGGCAACAAAATACAAATAATCCAAATATCCATCAACTAATGAATGGATCAATGTAGTATAACTGTACCATGGAACAGTATTCTGTCATTAAAAAGGAATGAAGTACTCACACATTGTACAACATAGATGAGCCTTGAACACATTATTCAAAGTAAAAGAAGCCAGACACATTAGATGCATATTGTATGAAGATATGAAACATCCAGAATATGCAAATCCAGAGACATACAAAGAAAACTGACAGTTGTTAGAAACTAGTGGTAGAGGAAAATGGTAGTGCCTGTAATAGGTACAGGGTTTGTTTTGAGTAATAAAAATGTTTTGGAATTAGAAAGTGGTAATACTTGCACAATTTTAAAAATTACCAAATAGTTCACTTTAATAAAAAACAATACAAATGTAGGTAAGAATGTGGGGGAATTTGCAACCTTCACATTAAGATGGTGAGAATGTAAAGCACTTTGGAAACCAGAATGGCAGTTTTTCAAAGGCTAATATAGTTACTTTAGAAGCCACTAACCCACTTCTACTCAGGAGAAATGAAAATATAGTCACACAAAATCTTGTACATGATTGCTTACAGTAACATTATTCACAATGGTAAAAAAAATATAAACAACCAAATGTCTATCTAATGAAAAATGGAGAAATAAAATATATTATTCACCTATACAATGGGATGTTACCAATAATAAAGTGAAATAGTGATGATACTTTATAAAAACTCCAGTCAAAAAAGAATATTGCATGATTTCTATTTATTTAAAATGTAGAGATTGGGAAAACCTATAGACCTAGAAAACAGCTAGTCATTTCCTAGTACTGGGGTGTGGAGACACATACGGTATCTACTAACAGGTAAAAGATTTGTTTCCAGGGGTATGACTATGCTGTCTGAAAGTAGATTAAGTGATGGTTGTATGTTGTATAAATACTCTAAAACGCATTCAATCATACACTTTATATGGGTAAATTTTTTCAGTTTTAATTTTTTATTAGTACATGTTTGCAGTATATAATGATAAATTCTTCATGGAGATTTACTACATGTACATAACACATCTTAAATCTTTTTTTTTCCACCCCCTTCCCCTTCTTTCCCTTCTCCCTCCCTCCATCTTTGCGTCACCTTTCCTTTTGCAAATGATCTGTTTCCCCCTTTCATTTTGCTCTTTATACTTTGGCATGTTTCTTCTTATATTAGAACCCCAACATATATATGAGTGAATTTTAAGATATTTAAATTTTATCTCAGCAAAGCTATCAATTAAAAAAAATGAAGGAATATCTTGAGTAAAATGAGTAAAAAAACCTACAACCTAAATTCTATATGAGTCTCAAAAAATTCACATTAAAATGTCCTGAACTGTGGATTAGTACTAAATTTAAAAATAAATACAAAAGGGCTGGGGATTTAGCTCAGAGATTCTACCGCCTGCTTTCCCCAGTACCCAGAAAAGAAAACAAAAAACTGATACTGCATATGCAGTAGTATAAGTGAATCTCAAATGCTTTTTGCTGAAAAAAGCTTTATACAAGAATATTTACAATGTAATTTTATTTATATGAAGTTTTTAGAACAGGCAATATGCTGGGGATTTAGCTCAGTGGCATAGCATCTGCCTGGCAAGCATGAAGTCCTGAGTTTGATCCCTGGTACCAAAAAAAAAAAAAAAAAAAATTTGAAGCCGAGAAAATAAAAAAAAAAAAAAAAAAAAAAAGTTGTAGACTAGGCAACAGTTACTTACAGAAGAAAAAAGTCTTAATAATGGCCCTTGTGGTTAAAGACCGAAAGGGGTGGCAACTGCCTGGGAAGGGACATGAGAGACTTCTGGTGGTGATATTATAGGAATGTGGCTTAGCATGTGTGCATACACTTGTCAAAACTCATCAAATGGTACCTTAAGGATTATATATTTAATCTTTAAGATTTATCTCAAAAGAAAAACACTGATTTCTAACTATGTATGATAAAGTATCCTGATACCTGCAACTTAATCTGAAAAGTGTAAGAAATGAGATTGTCAGATGGAATGAGGATTAGAGGTGCAGATATGAGATAAAGCAAGTATAGTAAAGCACTAATTGTAGAATTGAGGTTGGTAGCTATATGACGGCTATAAAATTTAACTTTTCTGTAAGTTTTGAACTTTTCATAAAATATTAGAAAAAATAAAACTTGGAAGTATAGAGGGGGGAAAATGAGCTAAATGATCAGGAACTACTAATAAAGGAAGTTGTAATACTAGAACACAGCTATTATTTCTATCTTCTCCAACAAATTTCTGTGCTTTTTTTTCCCCATTTGAAGTTGAACCAGAGCTAGACAATGTTACTAAGAAAAAAAAAAAAGGAGCTGGGCGTGTTGGCACATGCCTGTAATCCCAGCACTCGGGAGGCTGAGGATTGCTGTGAGTTCAAGACCAACCTGGGCTACATAGTGAGTTCCAGTTCCGTCTCAACTACATAGTGAGACCTGGTCTCAAAAAAACCAAAAAAAACCAAAAAAAAAAAAAAGGAAATTCATAATATAGTGGATAAATCTTACAGGATTTTTACTTATAGGCCTTTTTAAAAGTAAATACTAACCTGGAATAAATTACTGAACAATAAATTTATCTGTCTGGCAAATGACTATTATAGTACACTAAAAGATGAAGTTCCTTGATTATAACATGTTACTTTAATTTTCCAACTCTTAAAAACTTAACTACTTTTCTTCTGTGTTCTGTATTAGACCACAAATAGGAGCTTTATTCTCTAATTATAAATAAAATGTATTACAAATAACATAAAAGTACAGACACAGAGAAGACAAACCATCCCAATCCCACTAAAACTGGGGATAAGGTCATTATATCATTTAATTTTTCTCTGAATTTCTAACTATTCCCTTTTGAATTCTTTTCATATGAAAAATGTATAGATATTTTGGTAAATAAAATGAAACATTTATACCTTGTTTTTTAAAAAAGGAAGCATAAATAATGAGTTTTTGACACATTATGAAAGC